CAACAGAGCGAACGTGATGACAGCTCTTGATTTTTTTAATTAATACCAACTTTTGAGGTATTACACCCCACAGTGCGCCGTATCAGCCGTATCAATGCTTACCAGCTTAGAGGGGTCCCGACGTGTCAAAGAACAAATGCGTAAAATGTTATCCATAAGTTCACGCAAGTTTTTATCCCGTACGCCAAACTGTAAATTCTATAAGACAACTTGCTATATGTGAGTAAGTGCATCTTGATGTACATAACGCTCCGTTAGTTTTAGATGACAGATTGTTTAAAATTTCGCATGTAAAGGATTTAATCTAGCCTTACCCTTTTGTGGTGATTAAGATAGAAAAAACACTCAGCACACCAAGTTGTTTTAAATGATTTATTGAGCAGTTGAAAAATAAAGAAAATAATCATATTGTATCACCCTCTATATATATAAATATATATACTCGTATATATATATATATATATATATATATCCTGTTAACTGACACAATGTTTCACAACAATAATAAATATTAATATCTTCATACAACCCATCTTTTCAAGCGTGTATCCATTATCTTACACACATATGAAGTACATTTTTCAAAAGTAATTTAATCCAGCAATTTGGGAAATATGATGAGTTTTTTCAGAGCGTCCCTCGTATACACTAGACCTGAAATTTGGCAATGATTTTTACATTTCCACATTCCTTCGCAACAGTCATCTGACATCTGTCGACGCATCACACTTCCAGTATCTCTCATTTTCTCCACGTGAAACAGATGTAGGAGGTTAGAAGGGACTCTGCCGTGTTTTCCCCCAAAAATTGCAGTTCGATAATGTTCGGGTGTATTGATATATAGTTTTAACACCTAACTATGGTTTCCGCCGTTATCAAAAAACCCAATGTGTCCGTCCTTTAGGTTTTATAACTGCAACAAGTGCTCTCATCCACGCTTTCGTTTTGAAACACCATTTGGCTGCAACCTCAGCTACGAGTCAGTTGTCTGAAAATTTAAATCGTTTCCGTATTGGTTGCTAGCTTCATATTTGTGTTTCAACTCCTGATGATGGTTCCATAGAGGACCGAAAGTTCGAGATTACCTTTAGAAGAGTTTTACTAAAGCCTAAACAATTTGCCAATTTCCCAATTAATAATTAATTGTATTGACTACTGCTTATATATATACATATATATATATATATATATATATATATATATATATATATATATATATATATATATATATATATATGACAACTAAAGCCCAGCTAACATTGCTATATTACAGCATATGGCTCGGCACCTGTATTACGTATTTTGAAAAGTGGCATTATGTCGATTTTCTTTGACATTATATTGCTTCAGTTATCAATATTTGGCCCTGATCTGATGTAAAATCTGCTTCAGAGATGGTATTATTGGAGGTCTAAGCTGTAAGTTGTATAGTATAGCTAGAAGGAAACGTGCACAGTGAGGATTTGTGTGCTAATAATATGGTTTCTTGTCTCAAATACAAATTTCAAAAATGAGGAGAGATAAGAAAAGGTAAACCCTAGTTGGTGAAGGGACAGGCGAGAAAATATGCTACAGACAGGAATATTTATGAAAGGGAAAAGGTTATTACATTCTTTTTTATTTCCAGTCATTTAAATTTTATAGAAATTTATTTTGTGATGTCAATAGAAAATAAATATCAGCGCCTAGATGTGAAAAAAAACGGGAATCTTCTTCATCGTAATGTATAACTTTGGACATAACCTGGCTTCAGAAAGGACAACATATACTAAATAACCCGTCGAGCACAGCTTATAGATATACTTCATTGGCAGTATATTTAGTGATAATTTTCTGACACAGCAAATGTCACTGATTTTGTACCCATGCAGACCAATACACATAATCATCCAGATGCGATCTTGCTATTCAACTAACTTTCTTTCTTTCACATCTCAGAGATAAACACTTCAGACTACTAGGATTCACAATACATATACGTGCTTCCTGCAAGTTAAGGTAGAAAACAGACGGAGCGACTTTCGTCGACTCGACCGTCGACTCGACGGTCGAAAAAATTGTTCAAACGGGGCGACCACTTTCGTCGAGGAGGCAGTCGCGTGTCGTATCCGCGGTAAGCTCGACGCGGCCCACGGTCCCTGGCAACGAGAGCAGGTTTGCTAATAGTGTTCAATCAAAAAAGCAATGGACCTAGACCTAGATGATGAATATGTAATGCTACTGTACTTGTTTTACCGGAGACGAATGAAGAAAAAAATAGGGAGGCGTCTCTGGATTCATCCAATTATTTCACAGCGCAAAGAGAAAGGCTTTTTTACTATATTGTGGCCACAGCTAAAACAGGACGAAGAAAAATTATTCAATTTCACAAGAATGTCCCAGTTTTTTTTTATGAACTTCTCACTGCTATAGAACAAGAATTAAGAAAAGAAAATACTGTTATGAGGTCTGGGTCTATTTCGTGTGCCATCCCTAAAATCTAAATGAATACAAAATTAAAAAAAAGATATTGTTTCAAAATAAATATCTTTTAATTTGAGAAGATAGCGGAATTTATAAAATCCGTGATCCAACATATTCCATCGCGTGATTCAGTACTTACGTGTGTGAATTTCGAAATAAAATGCGTCTGAATTGATACACTTCAGAACATGGCATGATGTGTCATATGTCGACTCGACTTCAAGCGGCGGGGCGCCGCGTCGAGTATCTGTGTGTTTCATTATATATAAAGTTATTTACACCATGCGTCGACTCGACCGCCGACTCGACGGTCGAGTCGACAAAAGTCGATCCGTCTGTTTTCTACCTAAGTCATTCTTCCACAGATGGCTTACAGCGATAATAGCGAGCAAACGTGGAATGAACTATTTGCACCCCAAAAAAACCAACTAGTCTGCAAGATGACATTTTATTGTTTTTTTGACGTTTTGTAGGTTTTTTACATAACAACGTATATATCTTGGCTACACTTGTCAGAATGTCTAATCAAAAGTTCCTCAAAACCAGGCAAGAATGACTGACGAAATTACATTACAGTAAATATGATTTGAATAATTGTGCATTCTGATAGCAGTTTATGAAAATAGATCCGAAATGTTAAAAAAGTGTAGTAATCCCATACTAAAAATATTGCCCGTTCAGAAGCTCCATTAGGAACTTTCCTTAAAAAGTACGGCCCTCATAATATACTCATCCACACCTCACCGTGCCCTAATTGTGCCTATTGTGGATAATTTAAAACGCGTCACCGAGTGTAATGAAGTATTGTCATGTTGATGCACACTCCACAATTAACATTCATACGAACGCCAAGTCTGTTATTGAGGAAGCTTGGCAGTGTTTCCCCACTAAGAATTATAAAAAGACAAAATGCAGACAATGGCATCCCTGGGTAGTTATTACTTTTAATGTGATGATTTCTACGTGGCGCGCATTGACATTACGGATTTGTATGATGGATTTTTTGGTTGCCTCGTCCGGATGTCATTATCAATTTTCCTGGTTTCGATTCGTACCATGCCTAAATTGTAAGATTTATAGGCTTAGATTGTCCGTGAACGGAATGAAACGTGTTTGGTCGTTCTGTCTGTTTGCACGTACACTGGGCGTCAACGTTAGTGCCTCCACTACTTTGAAGTTTTCTGTTGACTAAGGCAGGAAGTATCTTCGGAATAACATTTGATTCGTTTTTTTTTTGCATAATTTTATTAAAAAAGGACCCCTTTTAACGAATCTGCATGCTGCCAGGCTCGAAATTGCGTCAAGAATGGTTTGAACAAAGTTTTTATCAAGTTGGGCTGCCTTCGCCACGGCTCAAGCAGCCCGGTCCACCCCTAAAAGAGAGTAGATCAGGGTTTCCCAACCTTTTTTTTGTTGAGGCTCCCCGGACTATAAATCATATTTTCATGCCACCACAAAGACTTTTATTTTAATTCTAATAAAGAAACTTTAAAACTTTAAATAAACTAATAAATGTTTTTTTATCGAAAAACTTGAGTAAAACAAGAGTACGGACTAATGAGACACTTGAGATTGCAAGTTCTGTACCAGTTGGTTGATTCTAGGTTCTGTTTTTGCCAGAGCTATCATCCGATCGCTATCGACATCAAGACGATTTCTCTGTTAAGTTTTGATTAAAACTAGAGAAGAAACGCCTGTCTCACATAAGTAAGTTGAAGAAAAAGGAACTAGAATTCGTAAAGCAAGAGAGGCAAGTGTCAAATTCACAGGCAATCTTTTGATCCAAAATGTACGAGTATCCAATGTTAAAAGATGGAAGTCATCTTTCATGGACGAATCAGCCTTCATTTCTAGAAATTCTTCCCGAACTTTTTCTGGTAATTGTGGCACATCGACAACAACTGGATTTCTTGTCATATGGCATACTGGTGACTCTGAATTGATGTCTCGATAGTATCGGCGAAATTGTCTTCCAGCGCTTGCAAATGAGTGTTTATGTCAGCTTTTGAATTTGCGTCCAGTATGTTATTTTTAATTGCGTCTAACAGCCGATAAAAAGATAACATTTTCAGAAGGCACTTTTTGACTCCAAAGTTGAAGCTTTGATATGAACCCCTGAATATAATCATAATTGCTTATTATAGTGTTGTTTCTGCCAGTCTGCCAGTTAAATAAGCCAACCTCCATTGAAATGTGTCATCTTTGAACATTGTCAAGGAATCGTGTTTTTCTCTGAACTCATGAAAAAGAATTACCTCTTCTTTCAATTCATAAAGGCGAGATAACATGTTGCCTTTGGACAGCCAGCGTAGTTCTGTATGGAACAGAAGAACTTTGTGATCAGAATCGAGATCCTCGCAAAGTGAAGTAAATAACCGACTGTTCAAAGCGTTGCTCTTGATGTAGTTTACAATTCTTATAGCAGAGTCCAAAGTCTGGCGTAATTTCTGTGGCAATGTTTTGGAAGCCAAAGCTTGCCGATGAATAACAATGTGTACTAACCATTGCGGGACTTTTTCCTTGAGCTTTTTAGCTAAGCCCGATCGTACACCTATCATTACAGGTGCGCCATCTGTGCAAAGTCCAATGAGTTTCTTCCAATCGAGATAATTTTTTCAACAAAATTTGATATTGAATTAAATATATCTTCAGATGTAGAACCTGCTGTCAAAGATCGGGAGTACAAAATCTCTTCTTGAATGATATCTCCGCCGATGTAACGAACATAAACTATTAACTGTGCACAATTAACGATGTCGGTGGATGCATCGCAACTAATGGCAAAAATGGCGATAATTGTACTTTTTTAATTATTTGTGACTTTATGTCTGCAGCAATGTCATCGATTCTACGCTTGGCTGTGTTATTCGAAAGAGAAATAGACTTCATTTTTGCTGTGCATCTTCTCCCAAAATTATCTGCGTGGCTTTTAGGACACATGGTTTTATTAATTCTTCACCGATAGTATGAGGTTTCTTTTGCTTTGCTATGGTAAAAGCTATTTCAAATGAAGCTTTGAGATGCTGTGATACACCTGTGTGATAACTTCCCGATTCATCCAGTCTCATCCGCTTGAGTGATTCTGCTTTAGAACAAAAAAACTATTTCGTCTTCAAAACCAGAGTAGGATGTTGTTGCTTCAAATGCCTCTCAAGGTGATTGGGCCTCATGCTCTCATTACTTAAAACTTTCATACATATCACACACTGAGGCAATTGTAACTCGTCTTTTTCTAAGAAGGTAAATCCAAACTTAACGTAATCTTCGGAAAACTTTCTTTTTTTTTCGCTACCATTTGCACCTGTAACAATAAAACAAATAAGTAATAAATAAATAAGCAAAATACATAAATGTAATTACTAATTATATGCCCATTATTTTATCTTAATAACGTAATGTATTCAACAGTATATTGGCCACCCTGAGATTTATATTTTTGTAGGCAGGTTGACCTTATATTAGTAATTTTAAATACATTTGGAATCAATATTAGGTACTTAAAAGTTCGTCATTTCAAAATTATTTCGCCACGTTTGTTTGATTGTGATGTGGTAAAAAAGTCCCAATGGCCGATCTATGAACGCGTCACCACTCGATCAACAATTTAGTAAATCAATTAAAAATGGTAACTGAAGTTTGTAAATACACAAACTTACCTTTTAACAGTGGGACACAATAATTTGACACACTCAAACAGATTTCCCAACAAAACCTGTACATCGAAACGTCAAATTTTTCGCAAGTTTGTGGGAATGAATGTCACAGATGCTCATCCGCGTCTGGTAGGTTCACAATTGTTTTCTAAGTGATGAATGTTGAGCGGAACGCGACAGGGGTGCGCGCAGATTTCATGTTGTGACTTGTCGAAACTTGTATAAACTGCGATTGACGACAGCGGTTGACAGAATAAGTGAATATGATATTTAATTTCTAATTTTATGTGTGTAAATTAAACATGACATTGTAATGTTATTTTGTTAATTTTGTTTATTTTTTTTGTTTTTTCTTTCTAAAATGTAGAAGCTTGCCGCCCCCCTTGACATCAATGTATGCGAGTTTAATACTACCATTGTTTAGGTAGTCGTAGATTTTGAAAATCAATTCATTGGCGGCGGAACTACGCGCAAAAAATGTAAAAATCTCTCGAACATAGTGTTAGAACGTTTCAGTTTTCTGCTCATTTACAGACATTGTTTGTGGGGATGAAAATTGTAGGTTAGAAGCTGAATGCGGTGAATGGTTCTAAACTGTTGCATATTTGGTGACAGTAAAATACCTTCTATTATTAATAAGCTGCTGATATCAGTGTTATACTATGCACATTTTAGACATAATCAGTTACACATATTTTCCCTACATCTGCCGTCGAAACAGAAATAGCATAGATTTACTTTGTGTAGCTTGATATGTAGAGGTCGATTCATTGTACCTTGGTGTATCTACCTAATCACTATTTGACGTCCCTTTTGAGACGACTTGATTCATCCCTTCTCTTTGAAACCTCCAACATTGAATTGAAGTCATTAAATATCCTGATACTCAAAACTATGCTTAATCTTATTTCATAGGTATACGATTCTGGTTAGTCAGCTAACGTGAAATTTATTGTCTGTTTGAAGAAACCACGGCGACTTATCTTTTTTAATGGCACTCTTATTGTGTTCTAAGTTTATATAGACTTTTATAAATCTTTTCTTACTAGGTCGCGAAGGATTATTGGATATGTTATAGAAGTTAATTAAACTTTATCCACGAAGTATTATACCAGAAAGTGGTAAAGTTGTGAAAAAGTATTTGAAGCATAATAGATTGATGCTGCGATTTCAGCCTTATACTGATAAGCTGTCTGCAGAGAAGCTTGATATAAGATACTGTATCACCTCAACAGACGTTATCACAATTTTGAATGGTTTGCGCATTTCATATTTTATCAACGTAGCATGTCTGGCTTGGAAAGTATTTTTGTAACTGCAGCTATCAGTTGCTATACAGGGTGTTCCAATATTCCGCAGACATAGTACAACGTCTTTTCAGACTCGAAATAAGAAAAATTGCTTCATTTGCCCGTTAGAGGGCTTCAAAGTTTTCTCTTTAAAAAACATTTTTGCAAATTTTCCGATGTGTCTGATTTTTTCTGTTTATCACATCTTTTTGTTTTAAGTAATTTTTTGTCTCCTATAAAAACATGCCATCGGGTAGTTTTAGAGAAATAAAAATCAGTTGCATCAAGAGGTTCCCAAGTGTCTTATTAATTCTTTAAAAGTAGTTAGCTAAAATAAACAGTTATTATAATTATTACTTATTACAACTTTATTCAGTACAGGCTATAGTGCGGATCTTTCATTAAAAGGTGTCCCATGATCACCATTGACGTTCCTGCACATGACAATACGGCCCAAAAATTGATGGCTTGACGAGATAAGAACATTTTTCAGAAACCAGCTCCAAACAAACTTATTTCCTCGAAAACTATGCGAGATGGTCTGTTGTTATGAGAGACAAAAAAAAATTAGTTATTGGGAGAGTTCCGAAAAAATTTAACTATAATTGTACGGTGGGGGTAGTTTTCACCACTTTTTTCGAACCCTTCCGGGTTTTTAGTAAAAAACAAATATCTGGACGTCTGAAATATCGCATGTGTTCTAAATTTCATTCAAATCGGACTATAGGTTGTTCCAACAATATCTGAAAAAATGTGTTTTTACGCCCGCTAAATCATTTTCAATTGACTTATTTTGAGTCAAAAAATACATGGTACTTCTATGTGCACGGAATATTGGGACACCATGTGTAGTAACTACCACAGATTATCAATACAGTACAATTCAGTAACCATAATGCGAAAGTCAACAACAATTATTCTTTAAACAGAAAGGTCTTGATCAGAATCCTGAAACAGCTGAAAACATGCAATCATACTAAGTGACATATAAATCCGAACACCCAGTTTAAATGGTTTTATTTTAATAAAAGTTGGTGAATGTATTTATCTTACTGTAAATAACAAGTGAAACAATTTTCAGCCTTATCAGTTGGACATTCCGGTTTTTATACTGCTTTTTTTTAATTCACTAAGGCTCTAAAAATGAATATTTCAGCCGCAGTAAAGAATCAACGTTGGCGGATTTTGGATCTTGACATCCTTTACGATCGGTTACGATGCCTAGAGTACGGAGACCTGTACGATTTCGTCAACTTAGTGAGTTTGATAGGGGCCGTATAGTGGGACTTCGGGAAGCTGGACTTTCTTTTCGGGCAATTGCAGTTAGAGTGCAAAGAAGTGGTTAGGTGTTGTCAGACATGGCTTCGAGAAGGCCGTACGCAAAGAGCAAGGGACACTGGACGCCGCCGTAGAACAACAGACCGTGAAGATCGCCGCCTAAGATTATTGGCCTTAAGGGACCGTTTTCTCCACTACCAGGTCCATTGCAAATGAATGGTTTGCAGAACACGGAAGACCTATTGGCATGCGAAGTGTTTACCGACGAAGATCTGATGGGTAGGAGATTGCTCAATTTGCAACGTCCTCCTCAGACTCTAGAAGCACTTCGAGAGGAGTTGGTGGTTGCCTGGAATGAGATACCACAGGAGGACATTGACCACCTGATCAGAAGCATGCCTAGGCGCGTTGGAGAATGCGTAGCACATCACATCAGGGTGCATCCACACATTATTAAAGGTCAAAGGGCTTTAAAGCAGTGCAATTATTTTGAAATTTTTATCATTTACTTATTATGCTTCATTAAGTACTTATACAAAATTTTATTAAAATAAAACCATTTAAACTGGGTGTTCGGATTTATATGTCACTTAGTATATTAATAGGATAACATCATACCACAAATCATTTCCATGCTTTACATCACTGTGAAGCGTCAAGCTCATGGCTCTAAATTGCTCTATGATATATGTATTCCGAGAGGTAATAAAATCTTAATATATATCCTTCATTTAAATGCGGAATTTAATATTCTGTGAGTTTTTTAAGGGTTCTTATAATCCCTTAAAATTTTCCGTGATACCGATCGAGTTTTAACTTAAAGAGAAGTCGTTTGGAATAAGAATCTAAGGTATCGACTATTCAAACTTCTTGTTGGAGTATATTTTGGCATCCATTTTCATTTTTACCTCCTATGTCACTCGACGAAGTAGTATTTGCGAAAAATTTCGAAATTGAGATATTATGGCTTTTGGATGTTGTATGACATGTACGAGAAACCATGTTACTGATTTCTGACGGTTTGTCTGTATGTGGGTCTGCCTGTTCGCTAATCCTTGAACCGCCTAATTTTCACACAAGGTTACAACTATGCCAAGGATAAAAAAGCTTTGTAGTTTTTGAAAATCGGTACATAGTCTAATCATATTAGACGAAAATACCCCTGGTTTGCAAAATAATTGTAAAGTCTTGTTTTATTCATGCATGTTGTTCAAGAGGGTATTTAAATCATGGACGCATAAAATGGGTACACCAATTTTTGTGGGAAAACTTTTTATTCGACAACAAAGAATGAGCAAACGTGTTTTTTGGGATTCCATCGAAAGTGTTTTGCAGGAACGAAAAACTCTTCAAATAAGATTTTTAGGTATTTATGAGAGCCACACAATGAGACCACTCGTAAAAAGATCCTACAAATAGTAAAAAAGTTTTGGCCAAAAACCGAGGCAAGATGCAGGTTTCGCACTTGTTGGTAATGCGGCGATAGTTTCACGCAGATACTTGAAATTCTTCAAATTCGTAGGCTTCATACTTCTAAATAACGACAACAAAATTTTAGTCGATTGGCCAAGTAATTTTTGAGAATTTCTAATTGTTTATTCCCTTCGTTTTTCGCATAAAAATAACAATTAGCTTTCGGAATGGTTTGTGATTCATGTCGGCAAGGTAAAGTCGTGTATTTCTCTATAGAATGCCCTTTGAACGAACCCTGAATATTGCTCAGTAAACTAGTAGTGATGGCCGGAACACAGGTGATTAGTCGGATCTTATTACGTGTGGTCTCATTCTGTAGGTCTCATAAATACCTAAAAATCCCATTTGAAGACTTTTTTGGTTCCTGACAACACTTTCGTTTAAATCCCAAAAAACACTTTTCTCATTCTTTGTTGTAGAATAAAAAGTTTTCCCACAAAAATTGGTGGTCCATATTTTAAATACCGGCAGGTATGATCACAGACACAATAATTGATTTCGAGATATAGTATCGTGACAGGCGCTTATGGCATATTTGACTAGTGTGGTTCAGCAGCATTGCCAGATGGTCGATACTTACGGCAAGGGAGAAACTAGCTGTTATCAAA